TCACCGCATACGACAAGCATACGTTGTGTTCAATAAAGTCAGCATACCCATTCCTCGCCTAACGCTTTCTTTTGAGATCGTTCTCAACCGGCGGTAAAAATACAGTCAATCTAGCAAGATATCGTCGGGATTAATCGCGGTGATTCCGGCACACACACTGCCGTCCTTATAGAATATACAATATAGGTACGGTGCCGGTGTTTAGAGACGGATGTATAAAGTGTCTGATGGCGCTTGGAAGACGTCGAATAGGCGTATGCATGCGCTCTATTCTCTCACTCGGCCAAAAAGCTGTGATGTTCGCTAGGCCTTACCGAGGAATTCGAAGCGTCGCTAACCGGCCTCCATATTGCTTTAGGAGTCAAATTTGACTACCTGTTTTTTTACTACGTATGAGGTCGTCATTCTTACACTAGGAGTAGTTATATTTGGGACAACATTTTACCACCCCGAAGGTAGTCACATATACTACCTATTCTCCTAGAGTGCAGACTGCGCTGATTATGTTACCCCTCCACAGCGTCGAACCATGCCGCCGAATCTTGCAGGCAATTGTCCTTCCGCTATTTAACGTTCACGAAGCCCGATTTGTTTCCCTCGTTCAAAACCAAAGTGAAAGACAAGAAAAATTACGAAATGTTCTGTACGAGTACATGTGTTTATAAGAATTACAACGTAATTCCCCTGATGGCGGACGTCTGAAAGGGGGAAATACTATTCAGTGCTACCGCTCTGCGCCAGAGTGAAAGCCCGGTCACCTAACCTTACAGGTACACTTTTCTCTTCTTTACACCAAAAGACGAAGCCCGTCTCCAAACCGGGAAAACAAATATCCTCTGATAGCTATTATTATTGTGCAAGCTTTATTTTGCAAGCCGTTTTAGTACTGGGGGCACCGGTACATTCTTGTTATTAGTCGAGACACATCAAGATTATACGATGGCATCATACATTTTTTCAGTATCACAGCACCAAGTGAAAGATCGCCTGGGACGTCCCTCAGTCGAACTGCTCAATTTTCATATTCATCCTTTGCGTGCTACGGAAATCGCTCGAAGGCCTGAGTTTACTCTCGTAGAGGGGAACCGTAATGCCCAATGGGCGGAACATTGATAAGCGGCAGCCTGCAACTGAGTACTGTTGAGCATACCTCGGCAAACCTCACTCATGAGGGCCCTCACTCACCCTCACTCACCCTCATCCTCACAGGTGAGGTGAGGGTGAGTGAGTTTCTGAACCAGGAAAATTCATGAGTGTGAGGGCTGTGAGGGCGGTGAGGGCCGTGAGGGCGGTGAGGGCCGTGAGGGCCGTGAGGGCGGTGAGGGCCGTGAGGGCTGTGAGGGCTATGAGGGCCATGAGGGCCATGAGTGTGTGAGGGGCGTGAGGGCGGTGAGTGGCGTGAGGGCCATGAGCGCGTGAGTGGTGTGAGGGCGGTGAATGCGCGAGGGGTGTGAGGGCCATGAGTGCGTGAGGGCAGTGAGTGGCATGAGAGGCGTGAGGACCGTGAGGGCCGTGAGGGCGGTGAGTGCATGAGGTGGTGTGAGGACCATGAGTGCGTGAGGGCGGTGAGTGCGTGGGGCCCCCTTCAGATCGAGCATCTTTCTCAGCATTTTAGTGTTAATGACGGGTTGTTCTCTAGCTTTCCCTAGATCGACACGAATTGCTGAGATCGGGTCAGGCTCGAAATAAGCAAGCAACTCGGAGCAATTCGAATACGTTTGAAGCGGCTGCATCCAATCAGGGACGCAAAATTTTCACGTGATGCCTCATGCCGGTGATGATGACACCGAAAGACTTGGTTCTGGTTTAAAATCGATCGTTTTTTGGAAATAAACTGTTTCAGAAAGGTGCATTAGTATTCTCAACGAGATTTAAATGCATAAGAACACGTTTATAACGCGTAATTGTGTCTAAATAGTGCAAGAAAAATAAAATTTTATGATGACGATGGCAAATTGCAGCAATTGGTTGCTGCGTGTGATCGCGGGCGGCCCGTCTTGCTGGTGTTGCGACGTAAAGTTTCTGGGCGAAATTGCCCCATCTGAAGCTGGCCTGAGTGGCGTGAGGGCCATCAGTGCGTGAGGGGCGTGAGGGGTGTGAGGGCCGCAAGGGCGGTGAGGGGCGTGAGGGCGGTGAGTGGCGTGAGGGCGGTGAGGGGCGTGAGGGCGGTGAGTGGCGTGAGGGCGGTGAGTGGCGTGAGGGCCGTGAGGGCCGTGAGGGCGGTGAGTGGCGTGAGGGCCGTGAGGGCCGTGAGGGCCGTGAGGGCCGTGAGGGCCATGAGGGCCGTGAGGGCCGTGAGGGCCATGAGGGCGGTGAGGGCCGTGAGGGCGGTGAGGGCGGTGAGTGGCGTGAGGGCTATGAGTGCGTGAGGGCCGTGAGAACGGTGAGGGCCGTGAGGGCGGTGAGGGCCGTGAGGGCGGTGAGGGCGGTAAGGGCCGTGAGGGCGGTGAGGGCGGTGAGGGCGGTGAGCGCGGTGAGTGGCGTGAGGGCGGTGAGTTTCGTGAGGGCCATGAGTGAGTGAGGGGCGTGAGGGCCATGAGGGCGGTGAGGGGCGTGAGGGTCGTGAAGGGCGTGAGGGTCGTGAGGGCGGTGAGTGCGTGAGGGCCGTGAGGTTCAGTGAGGGTGAGTGAAGGGCTGAAGGTGAGTGTGACTGTGAGGGTGAGGGTGAGTGAGGGGTTGAAGGTGAGTGTAGCTGTGAGGGTGAGGGTGAGTGAGGGGCTTAGGTGAGTGTGGCTGTGAGGGTGAGGGTGAGTGAAGGCGACCTAAAATGCCGACCTCTGCTGTTGAGCGCTATCAATACCTGGTGATCCCAGCACATGTGGGGACACGACAAAAGGCGCGCGGACCTTGGCATAAATTCCGATCATATTCGATAATTGTATACAATCATCGAATATGATCAGAATATGTATGCTATTCAGTCAAGAGATCCAGGACGCAAGTAGATGATATTCCACCTACTTGCGTCCTGAATCTCTGGACTGAATCGATGCAGTCAATAAGCACACTGCTCCCCTCAGCCACCCTGCGCAAAGGGACATTTATGGTCGTGTGAAAAATATACTAATAATAATTTTAATAATAATACTTTATTTACTGAAAAGAAAAACACACAAGATAGCGTACTGGTCCACGAAAGCAGAAATGGGGTATAAGACCGCCATGTTTCCCAATAATGGCGACCCTTGTAGGTCGCTAGAGTCGCGAATACGCCAACACCTGGCTATGAGAGGTCACGTCGCTGCGGTGGCGTTGCTGTCGGCACGGCGCACACGCAAGCTCGTCCTCACGCGAATCTGGTTTCTGCGCACGCGCAGTGCCCACCAACGCCCGGCGTGGGCAAACCCAGGCTTGTCTGCAAAAACACGCCTATAGAAAGAAGCACGTCGAGGGGCTTGATCCTGGTCATATCAAAATCAATTTAGCTTGCAAGGGAACCCGCGTTTACGGAACCCCCTACAAATATGTGTATGCGTGCTTAAAGGAAAACTCAAATGGTTTTGTATTTTAGAAAAAAAACAGTTATATTGTTTTTTTATTTGGCCCACCAGAATTACAAAAATCCAAATTATATTTCAGATTGATGCGCCATGTAGCCACAACAGAGCTTCCGAAATAGCGCTAAAGCCCCTCCTTCCCGTCGCGTTCGGTGCGAGGAGGGGATCGTGGCGTATTATGCAGAGATCTCAACCTTTCCGCGCTTTCCGCAACTCTTACCCGAGCAGTCAAAAGCGCTGCACGTGTTCCCTCACAAGCGGCAGGCGCAAGGCAGCCGAAACCTCTGGGCATGACATCACACCCGGCGGTTGGGTTTTCGGTTTTTCTGGGCATATGCTTATGGTATTCAAATTGACAGGCCTAAAATACACTAGAATTCACTTCTAATTCGCTTCCTTTCTTCTTTTTCTTTGTTTCCAAAAATCTTTTTTTTTCGTTTTTTTTTTCTTTTTCTTTTTTGTTTTTAGTCACGACTTGCAGAAGCAACTTGACGGTGTCGCGCCAGAAAAGATAGCGCAGATAAAAGAGGCGACGTCGTGCTAAAAACGCCGGCACGCAACAAGCAGTAAGCTCTTCTCGTGTTGTCAGTAGTGAAATTGCACGCAGGAGCGCGTCTATTGATACTTTCGTGTAAAATGCTTGTGATATTCAAGTTGACAGGCCTAAAGTACACTGCAATTCAGTCCTAAATCGCTTCCTTATTTATTTATTTTTTTTTTTTTTTAGTTACGACTTGCAGAAGCGGTTTACAGGTATCGCACCAGAAAAGATAGCGCAGACAAACTGACGAGGCGACGTCGTGCTAAAAACGCCGGCACACAACAAGCAGTAAACTTTTCTCGAGTCGCCAGTGGTGAAATTGCACGCAGGAGTGTGTTTCACCTATATGCTTTCACTATTCGGCACCGTTCGGATAATCGTTGAGCAACGGACGCTTGCATTCAGGTCCGGGATCCCGGAAGCATCGGGTCTTTCTATCCGATCAGTCCCGGCATCACTTAAACACGACCCCCGTAATTCGCAATCCAATACTCGTGCTGTTGGAGCGAGGGAAGTCCGGAGGGCTCCCGGGCACGTCAAGAACCCTTCGCCACAGGAAGCGACCTCTCGTGGCACAGCAAGCCAGCCGACAGATGGCACGCGCACGACCACAACAAACGAGGGGACAAAATGGTTCGAACAGGGTGGCGAGTGGCTGTCATCGCAGCAACCGCCGTCGTCTCCCAAGAGCGTGGCGGAGAGGAAGTCAAAATACCGCCGCCCCCCCCTCCTCTTCCCCCCCCCCCCCCTCCCCCCCTGGCGCATAGCTGGCGAACCGGTTTCCCCAACATGACGCAAAGCAGGCCGCGTCTCATTGGTGAATTCCCCGGCTTCCTGACATCACGAATCGGAGGAAATGTGACGTAGGGGCGCGCGGAAAAGCAGTCCGCCGGGCGCTTAAGCCGAGTGCAATATCTCGGTAACACGAACGCTTAAAACCAACATGAGTGGTGGGCCGGCTCATCAGTTGACGGCCCGCTGCCGCCGAAGCTTGAACTTGGACGGTCACCCACATGGCTTTGACACGGGAACACGTGGCCACGCGGCTCCTCTGCACGGCGTTGTTGGTGTTGTGGACCTGCTTCGCCGTCGGACTCTGCCGGCCGCAGAAGCGCTACGGCAGCCGACAGTTCCTTCGGGCAAGTCAGCACTTGGAATTGGTGCAACAGCAAGGACGCTGCAAGTTCCCACAGCCCAGAACGCTATGTGTTCCAGACATCTACCCAAACGAAAGCAAGGTAAGAATCAGTGCAGCTCACGATATGTCGAGTTTATAGAGACTTTCGTTTTTGTTTTGCGCGATGTCTGGTGGTTGCATTTCTTCAATTCACACTCTTTTCCACCAGATGGAGGCATCTTGCTGTCATGCTGTATGTCTTTATCCAATGCTTGTTCTGTAAAAAAAAATATCGCAACAAAACATGTCCAAGACAGCACGCGATTTGAAAATCAGAATGGTACTGTCGTTTTTCTGTTTTTTTTTTTTAGTTCATAAATCTAGTGAGTGAATGGACTTTTGATATATTGTAGCCCACACGGGCCTGTCGCCGAGACAGAAGCGTCAGTGTCTAATCTAACATGTTCAAAAGACCAGATGCCTGCATGGGGTCCCTGTACTCCTCTAAGGAGACATCCGACCCATGGCCGACAAGTGTCGTGCCGAAAATGATTGATGACGTTTAGCGGAAGCCTTCACAGAAGCTGCTTCATGCGCGCGTCAAGGACTTCTAATTTTAGAAGCGTTATAAACAACGACGACAATTCCGAGACCGTTTCGAAATTCCATTGACGCCGTAGCTTACGGTCGTCTACAAAAGCGAGTCTTGTGATCCGGCCTGGCGCACGTTGAGTTCCTGAAATCTCAAATAAGAGCTGTGCTCAGCCACAGCGATGCGCTACGCATTCTTAATAATTTTATGACTCGAAACAAAAAGTTGATTCATCTTCAGCAGATGCTTGCTTCATAATTCGCAGAAGGTATTGGATTTGAACAATGAACTGGTTTATAGTCAACATCTTGAAAGTCTTAAGAACAAAAAAAAAAGTGAACACACTTTTTTGTTCCTAAGTCTCGGGTGTCCAAGATTCTGAAAGTTCAACAGCTCGCTGGCGTGTTTTTTGTTATTCCTATGGTTTATAGTCTCACCTTCATATTTCGTTCAAGAAAGTTCGCACTTGGTCACTGTTTTAAAGTCATATAGAGGGCTAACTTTCTCAGAGACCCAAAAGCGCGTCTGCAGAAAAGCAAAGTGTTTCTCAATCTAATCACGCATTGTTCGCGCCTTTTTATAGAGTTCCAGTCCTACGGCAGCCATCTTGAATGATTACAAAACAGCTTTTAGTTCATAAAAAAAATGCATACTTAAAAGTAACTTTGCTAACATTTCTCCTGTGGTTTGGGGGATTTTAGGGCAAGCTATTACATTCATGGATTAATTATTTATAAGAGATAACGATACATCGAGTAAATATTTCCATGTGCTTCTCATTCTTCTCTTCCAATATTACTGTTAAAAGGGTGATAATTTTAAACAGCGTACTCAGTATGATAATAAAGAGGAGGACGATAACTTTTTTTGAAAATTTTGTTGCAAATTGTGTTTAAAGAAATGAGTACTTCGTAAAACAATGATTGATATTTAAAAAAAAAAAGAAACCCACTTTAAAACGAAATTTTCGAAAAAGCTCTCGTCCACTTTATTATGATACTGAGTACGTGATGTAAAATTATCACCCTCTTAACAAGAATATAAGAGGAGAAAAATGAGAAGCACACGGCAATATTTCCACGTTAGTTATCTAATCAAGTAGCTTGCCATAGAATCCCTTACGAACACAGGGAGCATGTTAGCAAAACTACTTTTGAGTACTGTAAACGACTTTATTTTCGCGGGCTCAATATTTTCGCGGGATTAATTTTCCGCTATATGTTACAAGTTGCGAAATTGGCGAAAATTAGAACCTCGTAAATTAAGTTGTTTACAGTATGCATTTTCATATTTATTTTGATAAATTAAAACCCGTTTGTTACCTAGTCAAGATGACCGCTGCGGAACCGCAGCCTTAAGCTGGGTTGTCTGAACGCTATAATTGAATAATTTGGACGATACAATGAATGCGCGATTCCTGATGTGGGACAAGTTCTTAGTGTGGTTTCTTCTGCTCGCAGAGGTACGCGCCGCACTGCACCATCCTGCACCGCTGCGCTGCAGACACGGGCTGCTGCAGCAGCACGGACGAGCACTGCCAGCCCAAGAGCGTCCAAGCCGTGGAGCGGGCCTTCCTCGTCCTAGAGTTGGACATCAGTGGCGAACAGCACACCAAAGTGGAAACGCTCGTCTTCGAGAACCACACGGAGTGCGAGTGTCGTCCCAAGTACGACCACATCCGATGACCCCACCGCGGGAAACGTGACCAGCTGGGATCCGACGCACTGTGCATCCACGTTTGCGCCAATCAATAGGAGTGTGTTGAAAACCTGTCATGATACGGTCAAAGAGGCACCTCGACAATTGGCCCCATACGGAACATTTCCATATAGGAGGACGGATAGGAAGTCGACATTTCCAATGAAAACCAAAGCATGTTGCCAAACATTCGCCAGTTGTGGTGCGATGTCCATGATGCTGCATTCTTGAAAAACTCATGTGTAAGGAGAATGTTAGGGACACTACATAATTCTTCAATGATATTTAAGCATTATTTATTATATTTAAAGCATACGTCATTTCAAGCTGAGTCTCAAGAAAGAAGCCTCTGCACTCCTAGTCATATCATCTGCATGTCACCGCTATTTATTTGTAAATAAATTTGTATACATTTTATTTTGTGCCGTCACAGACTGTTTTTGAGGCATTTAGTGCGGTGCTGGACGTCCAAACGGAAAGTACCTGCTGAAAGCCCCTGTAATATTACTTAAACATATTATTGATCATGCCCGCAACATGACGCTTATATTTTGTGTGACGCGACGCAGTACAAAATGGGATTCATTTTATTTGCAGAGCAATTATCTTATTATTGTCTGAATTTTTAACAAAGGTAGACGCTCTTTCAGAACTTGTTGTACTGGTGAACGGGATCGAACGATCAATCCAACTTCTGTCCGATCAGTATGACACAGTACTGAAGAATCCCGAGAAACGGAGCAGCGGTGGTAGTGCTCTCAGAGTCATTAGTGTTAGAGTCGAATGCTTGAAGTCGGGCACATCTCCGAGTGCTAAGCAAGTGAAACAATAACTTAACGAGCTAGAACTGCATAACCTCTGTCAGAGCATTGAGGTTCATAATATGGCACAGGAGAGACGCGAAAACATCATTGAACAAATAAACATTTTGACTAGCAAACTTGGGCTTCCTGAACTTACAAACTCAGAACTCGATGCGCTTTACCGATTACCACCGCGTACTGGCAAAGAACCTGTCGTGATTATCCAGTTTCCATCACACTACTTGAGGGAAAAGTGGATCCAGAGTCGCTCTCACCTTAGGACCGCAGAACCGAATCTGCGTTGTTTCGGCCAACTGACCTCCACAAACAAAAAGCTCCTGTGGCTGGCGCGAACGGAAAGTGAAGAAAAAAGGCATTGTTTGTGTGCAGAAAAATTGGCATACATTTGTACGGAGATCTGCAGGCGATAACGCAATTCAGATCTCTGACAAGTACGATCTCGAAAAAAAATTGTAGGATCATCCGTGCGTAGGTCGCAAAAGCGACTCGCTCTGAATGTCGGTCTTGACGCATCAATGGATCTTTATCATGATGCTGATTCTTCTCGTGGTATCAGATCTCTAGCAATGAAACAAACTGGCTCTTTTTTTCTTTTTTTCACTTAACAAAGATGAAAAGATTACGTCAATATTTACTTGTCTTCTTTAGATCATGAACATGATGTATTCGCTTTTAGCGAGACGTTGTTGGCCATTTCACATCACGTAGGGCAACTTGAAGGTTGCGAAGTCATTTACAGATAAGATAAAAATAGTGATGGCGTTGCTATTTATTTAAAGGACAAATTTTTCTATGAGGTCGTTTCTGAGTACACTGTTGTTCATTCATTCAAGTTTTGAATCGCTCTTCGTGTTTTGCATTATCTACCGGCCCTCTTCTGGGTCGCTGGATGAGTTCTTTCGTCTTTGCTGAATCTATGTTAGACTTTTTTTCGTCGTTTAAGATGCCTGTAGTGATCATGGGAGACTTTAATATAAATATTTTAAAGCCAACTTATTCAGTCAATGAGTACATTGACGTTATATCATCAAATGGTTTTTCAAATATAATTGATTTAGCCACTCGCAACACAGACTCTAGTGAAACACTGATTGACCTTTGTTTTACAAGCTGTTATGAAGACAACACCAAAGCAGGTGTACTCACAAGTGATATAAGTGATGAACTTTCGCTGTTTTTGGTTTATTCTAAAACGTTTCTCGCATACCACATGGTTTTTAACAGAGAGGAATATTAAATAGTTTCGTCAGCTAGTATCTTCGGTGGAATGTAGCGAATTATTTTAGGTAGCAAATCCCGATATTTATACGACCTGTTCTTTATTAACGTAATTTAACTGTACGATTGTGCTTTTCATAGTGTAACAGTTAAACAAAGTAAAAAAGCAAGGATGCTGTGGATAACTCGTGACCTGTTATGTAGAATCAAAGCACGGAACAAACTCTACAGTACGTTTAAATTATGTAGAGATTTACATATTTTGAAGAAGCACAAAAAAAAAGGTAGAAATAAATTAGGTACTGATATAAAGAAGTCGCGCCTTCGCTGCTGCACTGTTAAATTTGACGACATTTATTTTGACCGTCAGAACATTTAGCGTATCATGAAAGGTCTACTACGAATAACAGCAACAAGTGTACCAACTGAAATGAGAGTAGGTGAAAAAAAAAAACTTTAAATGGCAAAGCTTTCGCTAATGAGGTTAATCGACATTTTTTAGCTTTTATAGCTTCAGGTGTGACGATCTTTGAGGATTTCAAGAAGTATATAGGGCACAATCTCTCACATTCTATTTTTCTTTACCCAACCACCCCCACAGAAATTGTTAGCCTAATAAGCGGACTTAAAATAATTGTTCATGTGGATTTGATAATATAAAAGTGGCACCAATTAAAGCGATTCAGATCCTATATGTAACTTAGTATGCCATTTAACTGATATAGTATTGTCTACGAGAATTTTTCCTGAAAAAATTCAAACTGCCAAAATCGCGGTTTCGCATAAGGGAGGTACTGTTAATAATATCAGTAACTACAGACCTATATTATTACTTCCACTTTTTTCCAAAATGTTATACAAAGTTATTAATTCGGGAATAGTTAACTATCTTCATAAACATCAATTTCTTCAAACCAATACGGCTTTCAGAAAGGTAAATCTACTGAATCTACTTTACTTGACATTAGAGATAAACTTAGGAGTGGTATAGAGAACCAACTGTATACTATAGGCATACTTTTAGATTTTAACAAAGCCTTCGGTTTTATTAAACACGACACACATTTCGATAAGCTGCCACATTACGGAGTGAGAGGAACTCCTCTCTAATTGATACGCAACTATCTGACATATCGGACATAGTTTGTAGTAATTATAATAATACAGCCTCTGACACTGAATATATAAAATATGGTGTTCCACAACGATCCATATTGGGACCTCTTTATAATAATGATATTGTTTCCATACCTCAAACTCCAGACATTGTCCTCTACGCGGATGATACGAATGGTGTTGTTGTTGTTGTTGTTGTTATTTTCATCCAGAAACATGTCATCCCTTATTCCTATCATAAATATATGTCTAAAAAATCTATCCAAATGGCTTGACGCCTATCAGCTTCTAAATATTAACAAAACAGACTATATTGTTTTCTCCTACATTAATAGACCCACTAATCTTACTAGCTCCTTGATATTTCAGTCACAATCATTAGAACGGGTTCCTGATTACAAGTTTTTAGGGGTACAGTTTCATAAAAACCTTCATTGGACGTTCCATGCAAGTCCTGTGAAACGTAGTATCGCACAGTCTATAGGCATGCTAAATAGATATCAAACATTGCTTCCTATGTGGCTAAGACGTCAGCTTTATTTCGCTACTGTTCATTCGCGACTACATTATCGTTTACTTGTCTAGGGGATTACATCTAAATCTAATAATAAAAGTCTGTACATAATGCAGAAGGAAGGCGTGCAGTTTATTCAAAACTTTTCGAGCTTCTATCATATTTCTTCCTACGTTGAATCGAATCGTATACTGAATATTGAAGCTTTATATAACCAGCGATTGTCTGAAGTATTTTTTTTTAAAACTAAAAGCCGATCGCGAATTATTTGTTTTTACATATACAAGCTCAGATACACACTACAATTTTAGGCATATACATTTTGTAAAAACTAGTACCAGAACTAACTATGGCACACAACTATTGATTGGCAAATTCTAAAGCTCCTGTTATATATTTGAACACACTTCCTCTCCGCACAGACCTTCAAGAAGCAATCAAAGATGTATTTCCTAAATCTTGTTTAATGGCTTTTACTGGGATTTAACGTATCGAAGGCGGCGGTCCTACGGAGATGGATGAAGAATTCCGTTGATTTCTTCATCCACCTCCGTGTTGCATAAAATCAAGCAATCGTCGACATACCTGAATATCACCTCGATCCTAGGATCCTTGACGATCTTTTGAATTTCCCTTCCACATGCCGCGAGAAATTCATCACATAAAACTGGGGCCACACGAGATGCGATACACACACCGGTTTTCTGTACATATCGTTGATCCTGATATGACACTACCGTCGCCCCCCTTTTAAGTAGACACTCAGCAATTCCAGAAAACTGTCTAGGTTGAATCCTGCCGCATTCTGGAATGAGATGGCACCCTGCTCCTCCGTGGTTGTTCGGAGAATGTGTAAGAGGCTTGCATGTGGAATTGAATAAAACATGTCCTGACTGTCGATGGAAAGGCCAGAAATAATTTCAGAGCCCTTTTCCGGAAGGAAGGCGATCACACTTCCTGAGTTAGGTACCTTGAAAGGATCTCAAATTTGAACCATGAACAAATGCTTCGCCAAAAAGGTTGACACATGTGCTTGCCATGTCTTTCTTTCCGAAACAATAGCACGAGCGGAACTTCAACCTTGTGGGTTTTGGCCGAGAAAAAAACACAAAGGTGGACCTCCTTTGTTCCTTTGATTTTTGTCACAAGGCTTTCCTGGAGGTTCATTTCAAGTATTCGCAAGATGACTTTTTTGTGTGTGGATTTTGTTCTTCTTTCATCCACCTGAGTGAAGTTCTTAGCCACTACCTGATTGGCCCATTCACCGTATTTGCCAGACTCAAAGACAACAAACCCCCCTTCTACGTCTGGTACACAGAGCTTAAGACCTTTGCTCTGCAATTCATGTACTGTAATCCGCAGCTCATTTTTCATGTGCTGACCCCTTAGGCGTGACCGACATTCAATTCTATCATCAATGATTTGTGCTCTTTTTTCATCTGCAGCTTTGGACGAAACCTGTCGTACTAGGGCAACGTCCTCAATCGCTTCAAGCCTTGATAGAATGCCAAAAGTCGGTCCTTTTTCAAGTACTCGTTTGGTCTGCGTTGAAAGAGTGATATCTCTGATCATCTCTTGGAAAGGGAATATATTCTCCGGCTTGCTTTAGCTTCCCTAACCAGCTGGAGGTGGTGTTTCTAAACTGGTAGAAACCTTATGGTCCAAATGCTTTCCGTCTTGTGCCTTGTCGTAGTGAGGTGATTAAGGAACACTTTGTGACTGGGAGACCTCGCTCTCAAGAAATTTGTATATAGGCGGACTTGGCGCCATGTTTCTGATCTCAGAATCTTTGAAACTCGCTTGGCGTGTCCGTGGGAAGGTTTGATTGAGCCAAACAATTGTCTGACCTCATCTATGGGATGATCTTTCGTTTAATGCTCGGCAAATGTTGGTCGCGATCATCATGATAAGAGTATGAGAGTCCAAAAGGCTAAAACTTATTGAAGGCGTGCTCAGAGAGCTA